TGTCCCATGAAGAAGTTCTCATTTCGGTTTATGATGTTTGATTGACGATAAAGCAAATCGATCGCTATCAATACTCAGATAATTTTTAGTAAATACGAAATAAAATTTGCATATATAGAAACTACATTAAAAATTTTACAAAATCGCAAAAAGAGAAATCAAATTTGATAACAGTTTGATTTATAAAGTAAAAGATTAAGAGTAATTTAAATTGACCATTGTTGGGATGTATTATCCCGGCATGCTACTGTTCACGAGCCCAAGGTTAATGAGACCCGATCAATGAAAACCATTTCAGCCTACCCAGTCCACTTCGTCCCATTTGGCTCATTACTCATTAGGGTGGATTTGCCCCCCCCCCCCCCACCCCCCCCCACCCCCCCCCCACCCCCCCCCCCTCCAATTTAAATGAGGCTTTCCCTCCATGTAAATAGGAAGTAAAATTTGCATATATAAAAACTACATTAAAATTCTACAAAATCGCAAAAAGAAAAATCAAATTTGATAACGATTTGATATATAAAGTAAAAGATTAAAAGTGATTTAAATTGATCATTGTTGGGATGTATTATCCCGGCATGCTACTGTTCAGGAGCCCAAAGTCAATGAGACCCGATCAATGAAACCCACTTCAGCCTATTCGGCCCACTTCGTCCCATTTGACCCATGGGCCATTAGGGTGGATTTGCTTCCCCTTCCCCTAAATTCCTATTTAAATTAGGCTTTCCATCCATGTTAATGGAGGATCCCCCCCCCCCCCCCCTCCTCCCATTTCTATATGACAGAATTGCAAATTTTGATGTTTTATTTCAGTCTATGATGTTTGATTGACGATAAAGCAAATCGATCTCTATCAACATTCAGATTATTTTTAGTAAATACGAAGTAAAATTTGCATATTAAAATTTCTACAAATAAAATCGCAAAAAGAAAAATCAAATTTGAAAACAATGAAGAGTGATTTAAATTGACAATTGCTGGAATCATTGTTCTAAATCTCGCTAGGCGTTAGTTGAGCAGTTGAGGGGTACCTACGCCTAGTTGGCCGACTAGGCCGATTAGTCCTCTACAGTGTGGACCGGCTAGGTCGACTAGGCCGATTAATCGGTCCGACTAGGCCGATTTTCAGAACAGTGGTTGGGATATATTATCCCGACCAGCTACTGTTCAGGAGTCCGAGGTTAATGAGACCCGATCAATGAAGCCAATTTCATCCTACCCAGCCCACTTCGGCCTATCCGGCCCTCTTCGTCCCGTTTGGCCCAACTTAATGAGACCCGATCAATGAAGCCAATTTCATCCTACCCAGCCCACTTCGGCCTATCCGGCCCTCTTCGTCCCGTTTGGCCCATTAGGGTGGATTTGCTTCCCCTCCCCCTTTTTCCTATTTAATTGAAGGAGGCTTTTCCTCCATGTTAATCTACTGCTGAGTAAAGTTACAAGAACTAATCGCGGCCTAATCCAAAGTTACGAAATGAAAATTGCAATTTTCACAATGCATGTTATTAGCCGCCCGAGGAGATGCTTGCTGCTTCTTCAATTCATCTTTGTAGATGCAAATGATTTAAATAATTTATTTATTCAATTTACGAGGAAAAGTGGCCAAGTGGGAATGTCTTTTTGAATTGGACCAATAACTTTTTGACCATAAGTACTCTATTACGTAGTACGTAATTGTTGTTTATGAATGTAATTAAACGCATAATTAACATTTATATATGTTGAGTTTAATCCAACACGATATAGTAAATATACGTATAAATGTGTATGAACAACTCAGTTTTTCACGTGGAAACCCGAAAGGGAGAAAACCACGGGACTTTTTAGGCTAATGTCCAAGCCCTCTCAATTCTCATTAGGACTCTCCTCACCATTACATTGTACAAGCTCCCATTCATGGGGTATTTGAGCTAAGTCTAAAAGAAAGGAGGAAGGAGAGCTAAAAAGGGATCCTTTACATGGAGGCTAAGCTCCGTATTTATAGGGGAGGGGAAGGGGAGGCTCTCCACCCTAATGGGCCGCATGGGCCGAAGTGGGCCTGGTGGTCAAAGTGGGCCGGATGGGCCGAAATGGGCCTAGCTGTTCGGGCTCCGTACTGGATAATGTCTTGGGCTCCTGAACAGTAATAGGCCGGGATAATATATCCCAACAATATATGTTTAATTGTTCCAAATTTAAATAAGGTCAAAACTAAATCCGCGTGCACATTAGAAATTATATTTTCTTTAGTTATATATGGTTCAAGTGGAGGTAGAATATTATATATACGGTATATTTAAGGGAAAAAAAGATGCGTGACTTTAAGTTCACTTCAACCAAATAGTCTTGGTGCCTTTGATTCCTTTGAAGTTAAATTTATGACTGGATTGGGAAAATGTCAAACGCATGTCCAGATTTAGGGCGTGTTTAACAATTAACGGATGCCAGCGAATAGTAAATAACGGATTCAGTCAATGAGTTTAACTAACGGAATACGTTGGCGAATTGCTAGAAAATGTTTATTGATAATTTAGCTGTTTGATCATAAAAATTCGTAGAAAACATCATATTTCAAAACGTTAACTCAAAAGTCTCATATTGGTATAGTTTTCATTTCAACGGTTCCATCCAAAAATGCAAGACCGAACAGCTATTTGCCAAACAGCGTTTACATTTATTGAAAACGCTAAAAATGATCAAATCGCTATTTTTTTTTGTTGAACGCCGTTTTCCAAACACCGCTTAATATACTTTTTTCATCCCAAAACAGTAGTTTGGCATTTCTTTTTAGGATGTTGAGAAATAGAAATTACGACAATTTCCTTTTTGGCAAGTGATCTTGCATATCATGCATAGTATACTTCATATTTAACTTAAGGATGTTTTCTTTTGGACTGTTTTCAGTCCCAGACCAGATCAGATCAGACTTGACTTCCATAGTTATAAAATACACAGAGTCACAGAGACCAGACGTTTACCAGACTAGATCAGACCAGACCAGACCAGACCAGACCAGCAAATTTCAGTCCAAAAGACAACATCCTAAGTCTACAATTTTGTCATTTTAACTTTAGTTCTTCACTATTACAATATATGAAGAGACTAATAATAATTTAGATATTTTATCTCATTTGTTCTCAATCTATGAGTTTAAATGTTTTGTCACACTATTAATTTGAGACAGAGGCAATATATAATATCGTTACGTTCCATACTTTTTCAGAAAAGATAGTCACATACTTGATATATTTTTTTTGTCTATCACATTATCACATACTTGATATCTAAGAAGAATAAAAAAATAGCTGGTGTATAGAACATGCAGTAACATTCAATTCATTCATTAATCTAAAAAATGATAAGCACCAATGAGGGTAAGGGTGTAATGGATATGAGAAAAATGTTGGTGTAATCAAGAAGCAACATGAAGTTGTTCATTATGCATAATCACTTGTACATTTTTACTCAATTGACCTTTCTCACCCTCATGTTCCGTTTCTAATATGTTGCTTGCCGTTAGTTTATTAAGGAGTAATGGATTACTACGTATAAAGGAATTCAGTTGTTTCCTTTTCACTGCTTTAGCTATGCTTGAACTATCCGATAAAAAATACGTAGTAGTACGTAGTGCTTCAAATTAAAGACTACTCTACCAAACTAAGGTTGGAGCTTAGGGGATGTTATGGAAAAGAGGTCAACATGGTTTAGAATGCCTTTTCTATTGAATAGGTAAATGTACTTTTCCTAAACATGTTTCAGTGTTTCACCTCATTTTTTGTTCGGCCAATGATCTTTGATTGGGAGGAATTTTGACATTTCTTATATCATATAATAATACACTCAATGATGAAAATAGTTTTTATATTGGATAAAGATCAAATTGGACAACATGATTACGTGTATCTCATATTGATCACTAAGGTTTCAAATGCACCAAATCGGACACTATATTTACTTGTGAACCATTTCACCTACGATTTTCTTCCATTAATAAAAATCATTAGTTTTGGTGTCAATAAACTAACTTAATTGATGTATATAAACTTGGAATATTTAATTCGAGGTTTTAGAATATATATAATTCATTTTTTCTTAATAACTTCTTATATTTAACAAGCTAAAAATATATTTAGGACATTTCATATGATTTTATGGAATTTTGGAAACTATCAATTTGTTAATTTGATTTAACAATATTAAAAAATCCAATTACATTATAATAGATTTTTCTTAATTTGAAAATCTAATTATATATTCTAAATCTAAACACACCAATTACGTTATTTTTATTTTTTTAGGTACATAAACAAAGGAAAAAATGAATACTTATAGCTTTCAAATGTGAAAAATCTTTGGTGGATTTTCAAAAATGATCAGAAAAACGTTAGATTTAATTCATTTGAAACTTAAGTGTCCAATATGAAATACAAATGTAAATAGTGTTCAATTTGATCCATTTGAAATTTTAGTGTTCAATATGTGATTTACATATAGCCATATTGTTCAATTTGACCCTTATCACATTTCTAAATTGTTCTCATAAAACTTCACTGCCTATTAGGCTTTTAGTAATAAAAAAATTTCATCACACATCATTGCGATTTTTGAAAATTGTGTTTACATTTCTTGGGCCACATAAATTCTTTTTATGTGTTATGCAAATAAGCGAATCAATTTTAATGTTACTTTGTGATAGATTTTATCGGCGATTCGTGCTTCCTAAATGTCAGCTTAGTTTGGGAGAATATGAATTTGCTCTTATTTTTTGAATGATATTTGAGTTTACACTATATTTCAAAATTATTAATGTGTGCATCTCATCTTTCAAAAAAAAATGTGTGCATCTCATTGCAGCATAAAAGCATTTGACTCTGCATCTCATTCATTCACAACTTTTGAGCTAACAGGGTGCACACATAATGATTTTGAAAATAAGGTGCAAATTCGACAAGTATTTAGCATTCTTTGCAAATTCCAACGGGAGTCACACTACAACATGGGTCATAAGAATCAAAGTGTAGGGGTTTTCTATTTCATGGCTTCATATTGTTGTAAGTTGCTTACCTTAACAGAATTGTTTACCTTTATTTATTATATACGGAGTACTACTTAATCAAATGGTATGGTAATACTTTCGGTGGATAACATCATACAAGTGAATTTTATGAGATGTTGGGTGTGTTGAAAAAATGTGGTGCACAGTGCACTAAGTGTTGGGTGTGTTGTCTTCTCCATACGAACCTCATTCTCAGCACAAAAATTCTTGAACTCATGCAGTTCATACTCACCCCCATTATCTGACCGAAGGCACTTCAACTTCAGACCTGACTCTGTCTCAACACGAGCTTTCCACCTCCTGAAAGCATCAAAGGCATCGGATTTATTTTTGAGAAAATAAACCCACACCTTTCTTGTGGCATCATCAATAAAGGTCATGTAGTAGGCGGATCCTCCCAAGGATGTAACTTCTGCAGGTCCCCAAAGGTCGGTGTGAACTAGTTCCAGCTTCTCCGGTTTGATAGCTCGTCTTCCCTTTGAGAAACTGACACGTTTCTGTTTCCCGAATATGCAGTCCTCGCATAAGCCAACCTCAACAGTCTTCAGGCCGGGCAGTTTGCCCTTCGAGCACAGCTCCTTCATCCCCTTTTCGCTCATGTGATCGAGTCGACAGTGCCACAAATTCAAATCGTTTGTTGCAGCGGCAACAACATCGATGCAGTCCTTTGAGTTCGTTGTCATGTACAACGTACCCTCCTTCTTCCCCTTAGCAACCAGCAAGGCTCCCTTGGTGATCTTCCAATTTCTGCTGCCGAATGCAACTGCATAACCTTCCTCATCCAGCTGCCCAATTGAAAGAAGATTCCTCCTCAAACCAGGAATGTGTCGGACACCATTTAGTTTCAGCATGCATCCGTTCGGAGTCTTCACATGGACTGTCCCCTTCCCGACAATTTTAAGAGGTTCATCATCAGCAAGATACACCTCTCCAAAATTGCCGGGAGTATATTGTTCCATCACTTCAGAGTTATCACATGAATGGAACGAGGCTCTAGAATCCAGAACCCATGACTCCAACAGACTGTTCACGCTCAGAATCAGGAGATCATCACCCGATGATTCTGCCGCTGCATTGGCAGATGTCTTCTCCTTCTGATCCTTGATCTGCTCCTTGCACTGGCTCTTGAAGTGTCCGTACTCCTCACAATTCCAGCACTTGATCTGACTTCTGTCCTTCTTGCCCTCGATGTTTGACTTGGATTTGGATCTTGATCTATCCCGATTTGACTTTGACTTTGACTTCGTTCTGCCCCGGTTCTCTGTACTCAACGCCGATCCAGAAGCCAAACCTGATTCCTTCCTGCAAATTTCTTCGCTGACCACCAGATTTCTGACTTCATCGAATTTCAGTTTCTCCTTCCCTGCTGAAGCGCTGACTGCAGTCACCATTCCGTTCCAGCTTTCCGGGAGAGAAGACAGCAGAATTAGGGCATGAATTTCGTCGTCGAACTTGATCCCAACCGCGCTCAATTGTGTGGTGATTAAATTGAACTCGTTGAGATGTTCCACAACTCCCGTGGTTTCTGACATCTTAAGGTTAAAAAGACGCCTCATGAGATGTACCTTGTTCGCAACAGAAGGTTTCTCATACATATCCATTAATATTTGCAACATCTCCTTCGTCGTTTTTGCTTTGATGGTATGTAGGGCGATGTTTCTGGACAGCGACAATCGCACCACGCTCATCGCTTTCCTGTCCAGCAACTTCCAATCGCTCTCCTTCATGTCTTCCGGCTTATCCTCCAGAGGTTGATACAGATCTTTACCGTACAGGTAATCTTCGATCTGCAGCTTCCAGAAGCCGAAATCAGTCTCATCAAACTACATCAACGGTGTCTTCAAATCTGCCATCGTGTTGAACTCTCCCTTCGAACCTAGGGCTCTGATACCAGTTGTTAGGAATTTAACTCACAAACACGAAAAACAATTAAAGAACGCACGAAATTTGGTAACTCAGTTCGCCACAGAGGACTACGTCTGGGGGCGCTACCAAGCCAGGAATGTTATTAATATTTTCTGGATGCAGATTACAAGAGAGGGGAGTGATATTTATAGAGATGCAGTGTCTTGTTCCCAAAGCAACATAACCTCTAATTAAATTAGGATGTGTTTTCAAAAATAAATTAATAAACATGTTTCCAAGAATAAATTAAGAAACTGTCTCTAACACCTTACAGTGGTAACCAAAGTTATGTCTCCACATAGTCCAAGTAAATTATCCATACTCGTCCAACTTTCCACGATACAGCAGAAAAGAACTAACTCATCAAGCTCTACCTAAGCCAAAAGAGAGCACACTTGTATTATCAAGTCATCTCACACCATAACTCCTTGGCGGAGTTTACATCCAATTCATGGGAAGCCAACTTAGCTCATGTGCCTTGCCGTTGCCGTCCTCATACCATTAGGTTAAACTAGTTAATGACTTAATATGATAATTTTCATGAAAAAATATCCTACAGTTTAGGATATGGCCTCGGGCCGGTTCGGGCCTGGGCCCGGGCGAGCCTCGAGTCTGTTTTGTTGGGCCCAAGCCCGAACCGGTGGCCACCGAGTCCGGGTCCGGTTCCGGGCCGGACCGGGCCACCCGATTAGTTTTTTTTTTCCTTTGCTTTTCTCCCCCCCCCCCCCCCAAACCCCCAAACCCCCCAAACCGGTCCTAAACATCAAGCCCAACTCAATAAAGCCCAAAAAAATGAAGGAAAAAAAAAACAATTTTTGGCCCGGACCCGGGCCCGACCCAGCCGGGCCGGTTCGCCAAAAACTGTAACCGAGCCCAGAACCGCCCAAGCCCCCGGGCCTAGGCCCAAACCGGACCCGGACCCAGAAAACCGGGCCGGGCCGGTCCCGCACAGTAGCGGGCCGGTCCCGCACAATAGCGGGCCGGGCCGGTTCCCAGGCCGGGCGGCCCGAACCGAGGCCATTCCTAAAGTTTAGGACCTAAACTACTGTAGCAAAACGGTGAAGAAGTTCGAACAAGGTGTTCTCGAGAATTCCTTACCATTAGCAGTGTAACTGTGTAATACTCCTACCTTAGAGAGTTGGAGGCTTTGAATATACTACCTCAGTAACTTAAAAACCTTCTCATTTCTAAAGTAGGTAGATTAAGAATAGTGAAAAATGATATGAATAGTGAAATAATGTGATGGAATTTAAGATAAATCCAAAAAAACTAGTGATAGGTTATTATTTTTAGAACTATTGAGGGTACGATAAAAAGATTTAAAAATGGGAAGATTTTTTTGTTGCGGACAAAAAAGAAAAGTGGGAAAATTTTTTCCTTGAAATGAACCTTCACAGTATCAGACATCCTATAGGCATTACTATTGAAGAAAAAACCCTTAATGTAATTTGCCTACGTAACTTTAAAGAATTTTTATCTTTAGAGTTACCAATTAAAAAATCCAAAGTAACTCCCATAAAAAATTCTCATATTTGATCTATCTTTCATTTTTCCAAAAAGTAACTCCAAAAGTAAAAACTACCTTGGTTTTCTTAATCATTTTGCAGGACCCAAACATACCTAATATCAAATTGGACTTTTTCACTTCTCGAAGGCCACAACTACTCCAGAAGGGGAAAACTAACTATTCAATAAAAAGTGGTATAGACAAATAACCTATGCAATTTTCAAAGGCAGTGCCTCATTCAATCCAATTTGAGAACAGTCCTTATGACTTGAAATGCTGAATATGGTGAAAATAATACAAAGAAGACATCCAAATGACCAAATCTTAAATATGGAAATATCACATTCTCTGTGTAGCAAAATCAGTTTGACCGGAACTAATAAATCCACATTTGGGTATTTTACCGGACTTGTACAATTCCTGCACTGACCAATTTCTGGATCTTGTTCTTCACTTGAGGGTTCTTCAAGTGTTCCTGAGCAGCCACGGGATTTTCTTGGAAGTCCACAAGTACCTGCTCAGATCATGCAAGGATTCAGATAACTAGATAATCAATCCACAATTACCTAAGCTAGTAATATTCCCTTCCCTGCCCACCACCACCCACTTTCTCTCTAATTATTCATCAGTAGGTGCTAGGCTCCCTACTATCTACTAAATTCACCCCACCCCACCACTTCGGCATAAGCCCCCCACTCCGTTTTTAATGTGTCATAGTGAGTACAGTATGCATTAAGAACACAACCACAACATACATACTTCTTCATCATCATCATTCATCATCATCATTACCTCATCATTACCCCCAATGCCGCAAAGGCTCCCACCTAAGGTGGGGTAAGGGGGGATCGGATGTACGCAGTCTTACCCCTGTACTTAGGCAGGGAGAGACTGTTTCCGGATGACCCATAGTGAAAATCGCGTCCACAATTGCATGGACTGACTGCAGCTTCATCACAAAGAAGCGCAGACAGTTTAGTGAGCCATTTTGCTTTATTCCATCATATTTGCAAGCCAAAAAATAGTGAGTCTTTGACTCCATTGCAAATGATGGAAAAACATACATACTTCATGTGTGCAAAAAACAGTTCCAACTTCTGCATTCAACCAAAATTATCTGCATATTTTTACTCATTCAAAAAAATGTGTGATTCATGATACGAGCACTCCTAACTTAGAGGGCTCGTTGTACTTGGTGCACACGGGTATTTCATTAAATGATTCATAAACATAATTCCGTATTCTGAACTCACTTGTCGAAGGCAAGTCGAACTTTTTGGGAGGGGGAGTAGGCATGGACCCGGTTTGGGCTGACCGGCCCGGGAACCGGGCCGCTACTGTGCGGTACCGGTCCGGCCCGGGAAACCGGTTCCGGTTCCGGGCTTAGGCCCGGCTGAGGGGGTAACCGGGGGCGGTTCCGGGGCTTGAAAAAGGCGTACCGGCCCGGCCGGTTCGGGCCAATTTTTTTTTTTTTTGATTTTTTTGGATTTGGGCAGGGTTTAGGTGGGCTGGGCTGGGTGTTTCCTAGGGTTTGGGGGGTGGGGGTTGAAATAAATAAGAAAACACAAAAAAAAACAGAACCGGTAGACACCCGGGCCGGTCCCGGGCCTTACCCAAAACCATCCAAGCCCAGCCGGGCCTAGGCCCGAACCAGAACCAGACAGGGCCCGGTCCACCCCTAGGGGGAGGATACGTATTTAATTTGCACTGGACAATGACTAATCTATATCAGTACTTCATTTCCAATTTAATATTTTGTTTTATATTTCTGGTATGGAGAACTGGTCAAACTGAACCGGTATACAGTTCAGTTCTTGCACATGAATTATTAATTGTTAATTTAAAAAAAAAAAGTAGTAGTACTAGTTATAATAATAATAGCAAAAATAAAATTAATAATCATCATAAAGTCAATGACATTTAGGAACAAAGTAATCTAAATTTAACTGAGGAAAACGTATGTAATAAGTTTATTGTTCAGATTGACAACATGTAGCTTGTTTTCTCAAATCAGGTTTTGTTCTATCAAGTAAACTACAATATAAAAGCAACTCAAATAAATATGTGGATGTTTGTATATATTTTACATTACTATTTTCGAGGTGATTGCAATATTAGCTTTATAAAAAATTATGCTACTGACACGTCCGGTGAAATAACGTCCGTGTCGGTACATCCTAATTCAGTGTAATTTTTTCAACTTTTAAGAGCCTATTTGGTGACTCTGTTTTTCGGCTTATAGACTTGTTAACCAACTTTTTCACCAAACATGTAACTTTTGATTTCCTACGTTGAGTTATGGAATAATAAGAAAAAGTAAGGTTGGAGTTACTTTTCTGGATCATTTTAGCTATTTTACATGTAATTTTTTCTTTATTTTATATTAATAAAATATATTTTAAATATACTTTTTACATAAATCGGCAGAATCAGCCATTTCAGCCAATTCAAACAGAACTTCATAAATTTTCAGCAGAATCAACCGATTCAATCAATTTCAATGTTTCCAAACGGGCTTTAAGTATTTGATGATCGATGACCTTCCTTGCAACCCAAGGTCGATTACATTCCTGTTCTGATATATTATTTATGAGTGAAACTATTTTTTTTATTTTATTAATTGTTCACTTTAATGTTTTTGATGATTGAAGTCATTTAAGACTTTGGATTAATTTTTTTCCCTTGTGTTTTGAATTTTCTACGTTTTTCTTCGAATTATCTGGGGAGAGTTATCGCTCTTATCTGTAAACATGGTAAACCGTAGATAAACTTATTTCCTGGACGGCAAGGGTATGCATGTAGTTTTTTTATCATTTATTTGTAGATAAAGAACTGTCACACCAACTATAAATGATGTTATTTTCACATGCAGGAGACATATTCCTGCCAAAGTACTAGACCCCAGAGTGTATGTCTAGGAATTTAGGAAGGGGCCCTTTTCGAAACACTGGTTAAAATAGTTTGTGGCATTATCACCAAGGATGGTCTCACCTGTCTCATTACTGGATCTGAGAGAATGTTCTGGACTTCTGGATCCTGCATACCTTTGGCCTGCAATGGGTTTAACAAAAATGTTAATACACCTTCATTCAAAAGCACTGATTTGTGACTTTGTGTAAAGGTAGCAACAAATCGAATCCTAACCTGTCTTTCCTTCAACTCATCAGGTGTTAGATCCCCACGAGATGCCTTATTTATTTGCTCAACACATCTGCAATTCAACAATACTCCCAATGTTACTTATACAAGGAACTACTTTTCAAGGGATAGAAATTAGATGTTTCCAGATCCTTCTCCACATACCTCCTAATGCCGTCCAACAACTCTGGATTTTTGGAGTCATGCTTCAAGCCTTCCTGATAAGTTTCCAAAGCCTTTTCATATTCTTTCATGAAGAACTGGACAGCGCCTTTCCTAGTGTAACCTTTTGCAAATGTGGGGTCAAGTGCAATGCATTTCTCGGCATCTTTGAGTCCCTCAGGTAATGCCCCGAGTTTAGTATAGCTTGCAGCCCTATTACTGTAGGTCTAGGCCATAGACAAAAATAGAAATAAGTGAATAACAAAATGAGACACTATCAATAAAATATTTATCTCAACTATGATTCATAAAGAACAAAAATTAGTAGGACAATACCCTGGCATCATTTGGATTCCTCTTCAGAGATTCAGTATAGTGCTTGATAGCATCCGGGTACTTCTGCTCTTTGAAGAATTGGTTACCTGAATCTCAAATAAATGAGATAGCGTTACTACTTCGTAGTTAGTACATTACATATAACATGTATCCCACTACAGAGCATTTGGAATCATTTATTTTCATAGAATAAGTGCTTTGGGGGGGCACTTTTATTTAAAAATGAGATGTTTGTCAGGAAAATGAAAAAGGGCACATCTAGCAGTACAAAAGCAGATTTAAGTTCTAATAATGATAAAGCACTTTTGATAATAGCACTGCTTAGATGAGTTGATACTTGAGAGATATGACAAAAGCTCTTTTACTATAAGTTATCCGAAACGGGATCAGAGATATGTCTATAGCAAGTACCTTTCTCACGCTCTTCATCAGCTAATTGTGGATCAAAATACTCTTGTTGCTCTAGTTCCTTTTTTGCTTTCTCAGCATCATTGAGTTTCTTCAGTGTCTCTGGGTTTCGATGTTCAGTAAGAGCTTTCTGGAAGGTTTCAATTGCA